TAGTTGTTTAAATAAAAAAAAGAGAAAGTACATCATCTCAAATAAACGTCTAGCATGCAAACAGAACTGATGCAAATAGCCCTTGGTAGATTATTCATTGCAGTTCAAAGAAAACACACAGAATATATATATACAAAATGTAGAGAATACCCGGAAGTGGCCTTGTTAAAAGATTAATATGATTGTAATGGATGAGTCAGAGGAAGCAGTGACTGTAAATGTCTTGTTTCTAGTGTTCCAAACAATATTAACAGAGCATTAGTTCATCATTAAACTCAGTAATGCTGTGTGGTTTTCTCAGTAGAGATGTGCTCCCATTATCAGGCACCACAATGTGTGCTTTATGCATAAATCATCTCTCTGGCCAGATCTCTACAGTGACCTGACCGTACAGTCTTTGAGACAAAAGTGTGCTCATATGCCATGAAAATATTCTTTACATTGAACAAAATGTTTCACCCTGAGAGTCTAAAAATCGATAAATATACAAATTGAACACGTTTCGTTGTCATTAATCAAAACTGTTCTGATATTTTTTCAAAAGTGTTAGAATATCGTGCAAATTACAGGACAGCAACTTGGCTGCAATAGGACAAATGCATCTAAGTGCAATGGCTAGTTAAAAGGAAGTACTGTAAATACATTTTTGATTTTGAATTAGTGGAAAATGTTATCAATTGTGTGTGATTTTGATGAATTGTGAATATTTTATTGTAATTAATTACATTTTATCTAATTATATTTGTGAATAACTTTTATTATACCAACATATTTATTGATGGCACTATTCTAACATACCGTATTTATACAAAATTTTATTGTAATTTATTTTGACATCTTTGTGGTTCACTAGCTTTGACAGAACTAAATACGTTCCCATATGCAGAAGCTAATTTTCTCACATTCAACTATACTAGAATATACAGAATTAGAGTGATCAGTTATTGAGATGACTGAAGCGGTAGGAATTGGTACACCTAACTAAAATTAAAGTCTCCTCTTTAAAAAAAAATGCATTGCATTATGTTTAATGATATATTAACCACTTATTTCACTTATATGTTTATAATACATTAAAAGCATAGTATTCTACATTTCTTTCTGAATAAGGCTGGTTAAGACGAGAACCATCTCAAGAGGCACAAAACACCCCCTCGACGAGCTGTGGATTGTCAATGCCTGTTTTGAAGCTTCATCAACACTTGTTTGAGAATACTTTAGGGTGGGTATTCAGCTCCTTAGTTCAGGTCTCAAAAGATGAATGTGGCTCAGATGTCACACCTCGAAACTGATCTCCCGTGAGCGTCCAAACAGAGGTTCAGTGAGCAGCTGTGTGTCTGAGTAGCTGCGTCTCAGGTGCGTGGAGCTCCTAGTGGTTTTGATGGCCACCTCATAAGGTGGGGGAGGTTCCATGTCCCAGTGAGGCGGCCGACCCCGACTGGTAGGGCTAAAACAGGTTGGCTCCATCGGGGGATAGTCCAAATCTTCACCATTTACACCTCGCCTTTGCAAAGTCCTTCAAAATACAATCACGCATAATTATTAATAAGTGTACTGGGCATGGGGAAGCGGAACCGGAATGTAAGGTGGTATATGCTGTTTATCAACACTAGAGGGCCTTTCAGTAGCAGATAACAGTGCAGAGGAGCAGCAACCGTTCTTAGACTTCTCCTCTAAGTGATTTTTAATGACGTCTGAGGGTGGGAGAGAGGGGGAAAGGAAAGAGAGATGGCACAAATCCGGAGGGATATGGGATATGGGTGGACAAGTAAAATTATCTCCATGCTTGCTCCTATCTATTCCAATCAAATAAAAAAAAGCTGCATGAAAGTGTATGCATCTATTTTATGTGGACTGCTTTTTGGTCAATTATCTAGAGGAGCATTTTCAAGGCTGCTCTTTTTTATGGCAGATCAGGACTCCTCTTTCATTTTATGTTGAAAATATGTTGGAAAATGTTTACATTTATTCAAATTATTTTTAATGAAATGAGTAACATGGCATTATAATACTTGTGATAAAATGTTTGTGAGATGGAGTTTGAGTTCAGAGAAAATACATTGGATATATGAGTGTTGGAATAAGAACAATATACAACATTAAGATTACATATTTTGAGTCAAAAGTGTATATAAAATTGCTATTTCATGATTAATTCTACTATACACACACACACACACACACATATATAGGCTAATTTAAAGTACAAAAATACGTATAATACACACATATACATATACTTTACATAAAACATAAATACATATAGAATTTAAAAAGTACAAAGTACATATAAAATTGCAATTTCATAAGTAATTCTACTATATAGGCTAATTACTCATGAAATATATAATTACTTTAAAGTACATAAAATACATTTAAAAAGTACAATGTAAAAAGTAAAAGGTACGTATAAAATTGCAATTTTATGAGTAATTTGTTTATCTGTATATGAAATATATCTTGAAATAATTCTATACCTACTTTTTAACTCAAAACAGCTGTATTAAAATGGCTGTGAGTGTATGTGAGTGCCCATTTATGGATACTAAAATAGAACAAAACGTTATTTATTTTTTTTCTTAATAACATTTTTTCATGTGTTACTGATGAGAGTTTGGGGGTCGAGTCCCTGCCACTGTAGAGGCTGAAAACCTACTAATAACTGTAGATCGATCCTGACTGCATAGATAGCCTATAGGCTATAATGCACTTTTTGATGGAAACTCCTCTATGACTCAACTCCAAATTGCTCAGACTGTGATTTTATCTTCTGCGCCTTTATTTCACCTTATCAGAATCATCAGCGCAGACATTTATTAGTTAATTTATGATACGATTCCCCACTTACCCGTGCAGAAAGACGGACTGGGATTCGGGGAAGTGGTTTCCGGGCGGTGGGGTGAACAGGGCTTGACTGTAGTCGTGGCTGTACTCTTCATTATAAGGCACCGGGTTTCTCTTGCCGTTCATCGCCCAGAAGAGCCCTAATATGAGCATCACCGCCCCGAGCACCACACAGCACATGCTGAACGCCTGCAGTCGACTTTGATTAGAAGTTAGAAAAGCGGTGGAGCCACCGGTGACTATTAAAAATACTCCAATAAAAATAGCGCCATGATGTAGTGAAGGCATAATGTAAATTCATAACATTAATCTATCTGGAAAGTTCCGCGCGCATCGTCCAGCTTCAAGATGATACTGAGACTCCAGGGTGAATCAAGTTCATCAAACGGAGACTTGTCTGCATTGGTTCACTTCTTATGGAAACTGCATATCCTGTGCGCATTTTATGACTGATAATACCTTAATATTACCCAATGCCTTGATTTAGGCACTTGTAGTAAAAAAGGACATGGAGTGCATTATACAAATGTAGCATGCACTCGATCGAAGCGGTGAGCTGCTGTTCACACGCATCAGGTTTAGTCCATGCTGTCAAATGAGCGCAGCTGCCTGCTGTGTTGTCAAACTCCTCTATCGTTATAAGAGCATCATTAGAGTTCATGCCCCACCCCAGAGCCGTCTGTAGGCCAGATGGTTATTGGCATGAATTTGAAAATATGATTCCCAACAAGATAATCCCTTATAGTAGGCCTATCTGTTTGTTGTACATGCGATCCCTAACCTTTTTTTAAATTAGATTTCCCCCAAAATATGGGCAGGTTTGAATGAAAATGAAAATTATTAGTGTTAACCGTTATAAACATTAGTTTGCCGGTTAACCCTTCATGAGCTGTTCAGTAATGAAGTCAATTTGTAAGTCATTTGTAGAAAGCATATTGCTCACAAAATACACATAGGCCTAGCTTTTAGATTTTACTTTATGAGTTTGTTTTATGTTTTTTTCTTTAGTTATTAAAGGGATAGTTCACCAAAAAATAAATAATAATAATGATAATTTTGTCGTTGTTCCAAACCTGTGGCCTATGACTTTCTCTCTTCTTGAAGACAAAATAAGATATTTTGAAAAATGTTGTGAAACGTTGCCGGTAGCTTTGACTTCCACATTATGGGACAATATGCTACTACATGAAAGTCAATGGCTACTGGCAACTGTTTGGTTAAACACATTCTTCAAAATATCTTCTTTTGTGTTCAGCCGAAGAAAGAATCTCATACATGTTTGGAACAATTTGAGGGTGAGTAATTGATGACAGAATTTAAATTTTTGGATGAACTAACCCCTTTAATGTTTGTGATGAACCTACTTGAAGAGGATTTTCACAGTTTGTTCTACAACATAAATTAAACACAGTCATTGTGGATTTTTTAAAAATACGAAATTGCTAACTTGTTGCCAAATAATTTTAGTCAAGCAGGTAAACTTAATTTTCTGTGGTAGTCGCATTCCTTTTTAGCAGTTTACTAGCAATAACATAAAACAAAACATAGTTTAGTGGATTCAAAAAAAAAATCACATTTAAGGTATAACTGTGTCTAATGTAGCCTGTGTTGCAGAACAAAAATGTTCCAGCAAACATCTTCCCCTAAGCGTCTAGTATGGTTCCTGGTTTGATTATTTTTAACCATAAAATAACGTTCCCAGAACATTCTATGAACCAAAATATTTAGTCTTCCATTAATTTTAACCATAGACATTTATTTTACTCATTATCAGAAACCACTATGATAAACCCCTCTTCTAAATCCGGGAAAAAAATATTCTATAAATATTACATTATAGGATTGGAATAATATTTTAAACTGTAGTAGGCTATAGGAATTATTTATTTTAAAGTGAAATGCATGCCTATAACTGTACGTTACCTCTATCACTAGTCGCCTCATTTCTCTACTATTGTATGATAATGAACATCTCACTGAGGCAATGGTGTGACGGTGTTTCTTTCTTGTGATTGGCTGAACAGACGACACGCAACCACTGGCGTCATCTGATTTGACGCGCTACTGGCCAATCATCGCAAGTTGGAGGCGGTGCTTAGACCACCTGGGCAAGTTTCTAAACAGCGTGCAAAATATAGATGGCAAATAGTGCGCCTTGCAAGTGGGGAAACTATGCGCACAAAGGAATACGAGAAATCGCATTCAATAGCAATTTATTAGGCAGTGCTAATGCATGTGGTTTTATGTTCGTCCGCTGTGAATACAAATAAAAGCATTTGTTAAATCAAAAGGCGTTTTAAATTGCATTGTAATTAGGCGATTCGTGATTTTAAAAAAGCTGTCGGAATGGATCCGTTGTTATATTTGGGTGCGTTAGTGGTTTTGTTTTTGGTATGGATTAAAGTGAAGGGCTTGGAGTACGTGATAATACACCAGAGATGGATCTTCGTTTGCCTCTTTCTGCTCCCCTTATCAGTCATCTTTGATGTGTACTATTACCTGCGCGCGTGGATCATCTTCAAGATGTGCTCAGCGCCCAAGCAGCACGACCAGCGAGTCAGAGATATTCAGAGACAGGTAACTGCGAAACTTCGAGCCGAATGCTTTCATATGTTACCTATTATACTTTCATTTATAATTTAATATTTCATATACTTCAGTATTGCACTGATGATCATGCATTATGCATACAAATGAGAAATGCATGTAATATTAATGAATATGCATGAAAAAAAAAAAACATGAAATGTGCAAACGGCTTGAACTATAAAGGTAGGCAGTGCCTCTTCAAAGAAAAAAAAAATTGATGGTACAATAAAAAGTAGCGGGCAAGTTGTGGGGGGTGAAAGTACGGGCGCGGCGAAAAGTTACTGACACGCCCCCTACTGTTCGCCACACCCTGACAGGTTCACCAGTGTAGTTTTCGGTCATTTTATTGTGGTTTTTGCTGAATCAATGTAAAAAATAATGAACGTATGAACTTGACTTCGATGCAATCTGGTTTTAATAAAATGTTGACCATTTAAATTGTTCAGGTGCGAGAATGGAAAAAAGAGGGAGGGAAGAAACATATGTGCACAGGTCGTCCAGGATGGCTGACTGTTTCTCTCAGGGTGGGAAAATACAAGAAGACGAACAAGAACATCATGATTAACATGATGGACATTCTGGAGGTGGACACAAAACGGCAGGTGGCTGATGCCAGATATTATTTTTTGACAGTAAAATTGTTTTAATCTCATCTCCTCATTTAAAGTTAAAGGAATAGTTCACCCAAAAACGAACATTTGCTGAAAATGTACTCACACTCAGGCCATCCAAGATATAGATGGGTTTGTTTCTTCATAAGAACAGATTTGGAGAAATGTAGCATTACATCACTTGCTCACCAATGGATCCTCTGCAGTGAATGGGTGCCGTCAGAATGAGAGTCCAAACAGCTGATAAACATCACAGTAATCCACAAAACTCCTGTCCATCAATTAATGTCTTGTGAAGTGAAAAGCTGCATGTTTGTAA